GTTGTTAAGTTAGGTTGTATTTGCAGTGTGCATTCACCAATTAATATAATACTTAAATGTTTCTGATTTTATCAAGTCTGGTTTTTTTATGGGGATATGTTAAAGACAGTGCTTACAAAACTCGACCAACTATTGTCGACAACATGAGAGAAATCATTGTAGCTGCTCTTCTAGGCAGAACTCCACATATGCCTTTTTAAATGAAAAGATCCTTTTGAAAAGACAATTATTTTATGCAGTTAGTAGTATGCAAACAGGAAAGGAAGCATTTTGAGCATTTGATTTCATTTTTGTCACATAATTATAGGTTTATGTCTAGTTTTAATTCTGTCATAATTAAAATATGTTTTAAACGTGTATCTTTTTATTACCGTTGAGTATTTTACTCTACAATCTTTAATTTTTGTTAAATTTACAAAAGGTAGTATCACACAGCCACCCTAGATTTCTTCAAATAATAAAGATTTACCGACGTAAAATCATAAAAAATAAAATATCTAAGAATATCTTTGTCTAAGGGGTTGGCAACCTTAATAATATTTTGAAGATATACAAATTCCCAACTGAACACCGGGAAAATATGCTGGATGTTCCTTTTAAAATAAAGGAGTAACTTGCTTTTAAAAGTGGCTAATGTTCCATATTAATTTGGTTTCACTGTATAACTTTTCGAGTCAAATTTCAATTTGGTTTAACATACAATAGTTACTGTAAAAAATATCAGGCTATACAAGATCAACTAAAATTTAGGTAGCTGTTATCGAAATTTAAAATTCTTCGTTTTCAAAAAATGTGAAATATGTGAAAATCCTTAGATTCTTTAATAAAACTCACATTTATTTTTTATTTGCTAGAATCCAAAAATCAATTAATATATAGGGTGTTCCGTTAGAAAAAAAAATGTGAAATATGTCAAAATCCTTAGATTCTTTAATGAAACTCACATTTATTTTTTATTTGCTAGAATCCAGAAAACAATTAATATATAGGGTGTTCCGTTAGAAAAAACATAACTTTGATGCCAAAATGTCATTTCGATATAAACTACCGTTCTCCTTGGAGCTTCCGCGGCGTATGAGAGGAGCCATCCTGTATAAGGTAGATTTTCAATCATTTAGCTGCGCATGGACAAACACAAATGCATTTTTAAATGGAGCACCCCGTATTTTGATATATTATGATTTTAATTAAAAATAAGTATTATTCATTTAACTTAATATTATGAATAATTTTACTGTTTTTAATTAATTACATTTGAAAATTGACATTTTCAGATTTTGAAACGCAGTTCATGTGCCTTATGAAAGACTTTTAAATAATGATATAAGAACATAGACACAACCTGGTTTGGCTGTTAATTAATGGTATAGACAAATCTAAAAAATACTAAAAAAATATAATTTTCAAACATAAATAATTCAAAAGTAATTGAATCAGTGTATGATACATTAAATGAAAAATTACAAAAAAATTTGATTAGAATCAAATGAAAATTTTTTTTTAGAATCAATATCTGCTATGAGTTTCTCCATTTAAAACAATTCAATTTTGATCGGTTTTATCTTGTCTTTCAGGTACTCCTTTATATAAATATAAATGCGCCAAAAAAACTACATAATATATCCTAGAATATTTAATAAAAATATATATAGGGTGTTTCTTAATGAAATAGTTGGGTTCACGAGGAAAATTATTGGTTAATTTTAAGAAAAAAAAACTTCACAGGAAACTAGTTCCTAAACCTATCAACTTGATAACTGAGATACAGAGTGGACAAGGTTCCTAGAATCGTTTTGGCGGAAAATTAACTCAAGAGTCGCCTCTAAATCTCATTGAGGAACACCCTTATATCATAATATATTATTAAAAGGTTAATTATACAGTAGGTCCCGGATTGTCTTTACAAGAGGAGAAACTTTTTATTATTGATATTTTGAGAAAAACGCATTCGTCATAAAAATTTTTGCTTGTTCTAAAATGGTTAATCCCGTTTATACTTTTCCAAATTTCCATACCGTTTTAGAGAAAATTAAAAAAAACTGAAAATATGGTTGAATTTTTTGAAAGTCTTAAAAATCAAAACGCGTTTCTATGGTTTTCGTTCTTTGTTGTTATTGATAGAATTTTAATTAACGTCATATTTTTTGCGTTTTAAAATGATAAAGAAACACAAAATTTATTTAGTTGAATGCTACGGAAAGGATGATAATGGTTATCGGAAAATGTGATACCTTAACAATAGCAAAATATATGTCATTAACCAAAATTAATAATACCCATCTATCAAAGAATGAAATCTAAATTATATTACCATAAAAACTCGGTTTCATTTTTAGGGCTTAGAAAAAATCAACTATATTTTCATGTTTATCATTTTCAAACGGGATTAACCATTTTAGAACAAGCAAAAATTTTTATTAAGAATGCATTTTTCTCAAAATATTAATAATAAATATGTTTTTCCTCTTGTAAAGACAATCCGGAGACATACTGTATATTAGTTATATATTATTACCATAACATATTAAAATATACCGAGAGGAAAATCCCGTCGGTCGCTTAGGGTTACCAAACCGGGTGCCCGGTGCATATTTATCCCCGAAATACCGATATTAAATCCCAGGATTCCGAAAATGTCGAAAAATTTTAATGCCCAATCTAAAATGATTCGAGTTAGTCTTTCAAATATCATATTTTATTTATACTAACAGCGCTTTTAGATGGAGCGGAGCGTCCGCGCGTACCGTCCGCGTGTTCCACTAGTTCAAATGAACAGTTTTACATGGGTCGCGCGTATGCTCCGTCTGGATGAGATCGTCGACGGCTATCTTATCTTGAAAAAATATCCGTGCGGACGCTTCGCGCGTACGGTCGCGCTGAGTCCTGAAAGCGCTGTTACAGCGTTTTCAGATAGAGCGAAGCGTCCGCGCGTACCGTCCGCGAGGTCCATTACAGGGCTTTCAGATGGAGCGGAACGTCCGCGCGGACCGTCCACCAGTTCCATGAATTTAAATGAACATAATTTCACATGGATCGCATATGTTCCGTCCGGATGAGCTATCTTGAAAAAACATACGCGCGGACGGTCCGCTCCATCTGAAAGCGTTGTAAGCCGAACGTCAATATCTAAGTGTTATATTTCCGTGTTTGCTATATTATTTTTGCAACAAGAATTTTATTTTTTTTACTAACTACATATGGAAAATTACTTTGTTTATTCTATTTTAATAAAGCTCTTTCCTCATTTTCTTTTTGATATATTATGCAGCTGCATTTTTATTAAATATTTCTTTAGATTAAATTTCTCATTCTGATCCCCGCGATTCCGAGATTATAGGTTCTTATTCCGGGATTTTAAATAATTGGAAACCCTACTTACACTGAGTGAAAGTTTTTTTTATATCGTTAGTTGTATTGGCTAAATATTTGTGAACAGTGGGTTAGAAATACCGTTTGATCGAAAAAGAAACGGCGTCATAGACGCCTGGGGAATGATAATAGTTGCTAGTTTCGGCGAGGTCAATCTCTAGACGCCAGTTTCTAAAAATTGACATAAAACTTATCAAAAATTAATACTAATTTTCTAACATCTAAAAAATGATTGAATGTTTCCAGACTCACAAATCTACTTCCAAAAAAGTATTTTTTCTCGAATTTTAAATTACATTATTAAAAAATAATTTTTACTAATATAGAAATAAATAACAACGTTCTTAAAGTCAATTGGCAGTAAGCGCCATGAAAAAATAGAGAATAGTACGGGCCAAGTAAATGGAGATCTAGGGCTTGACCTCGCTCATAATAATAATTATTGATTATCATTCCCCAGCCGTCTTTGACACCGTTTTTCTTTTCGATCGTATGGTACGTTACGATTTTTTTCGGTAAATATGTGATAATATAATACAGCTGCTTGAACGAAAATATTGATTTCAAATAGCAATATGTAGCATCCACAAACACTAATTCTGAATCAGCGTAGCTACACGGAAATTACTAAAAATTTTATATTAAAAGGTTAATTGATAATTACTCACATTCGACAATAGTTGTGGAGTCCTTTTCACAGGAAGTTGAAATTTGTATATTTGTGGTATCTATATTACACACTTTTATGGTGCAAGGTATTTGTGGTAGCACAAATACACATTCTAAAATTATAATATTTGTGGAACAGGTTTCCACAATTAATAAATGCCAATAACTTTCTTACGGTGGAGTGTATAGACATATAAATTATATTTTTAGGTCGTGGACAGCGAGTTCGTATCATTTCGTACAAAAATAGAGATGCTACCACAAATGTCTTTACTGCACGGTTGTCACAAATATGGTCATACGTGTATAGGTGTGTGTGTGTGTGCATTTTTTTTTGTCCATTTTTTAATATTTTCAACTAAAGGTGGCATTGCAAACTACATATACAGAGTTACAATGTTATGTCAGAAACGACGTTCTAAATTCATTTTATCCCATTCGAATTAAATGGCGAAAATACCATAGACTTTCTACGTCTTGGCTGTATGTGAAGTTGGCGGTAGACGAACAAACAGAAGTATGTCCTTGCGTGGTGTGGACATACTGCTGTTTGTTTGTCTTTGCCAGATGAAGAGTGATTTTTTTTGTAATACAATTTTAGCTATTTTTTGAATAATACACTACTTAAAATAATGAATGGAACTATGACTTGGGACGATATATTTAAGGATACGGACCGCGTGCTAGCAGAAAAATAAAGAGAAATTTCACGTCTAAAGAACAGTCAATAGTTTTTTTCAATTTTTTCAGATATCATCAAAATTAGATTTTTCATATGTAGATGTACTATTTTTATGACTTTTTAGCCATTTTTTAAGTATACTATTTTTCGATAAGTTTTGCAAAAAGCGTACCAGTTTTTCTTTGTTTGCCAAAATTCGAAAAAATGGACAAAATGCATCTAGAAAATCTGCTCCTCACATATTATGTTGATAAAAAATTAATTATTATTGTTAATTTACTTATGGTTCTTTGTCTCGATTTTATGGAATATGCAGGTGGGCTAGCTTTCCCATACCTCGTCATTTTTTCTATAGGATATTTTGGTCCCGGACCCATAGCCTTGCTGGTCGATCCCAATTTTAGTCCCATAGAATACTGAGGATTCCTATGCTTGGTAAAATCATGATGCTCGTACCCAACCACAGGCGGGAGCATATATTTCCCAGGACCGGGACCTAAAAATGTATATTTTCAAATATATATTTAAAAATTGTAGAAAAATATAATTTTACCTATATGTACACGTGGCATTTTTAGTGATGTTTTTAAAGATTAAAAGAATAATTGTACAAAATGGTAGAATGAAATGAAAAGAAATATAATGGAGTCTTCTTACGAAAACTTTCGAGGAAATTGATGACACATGACAATTTTTTCGTTTTTTTTTTATTGAATTACCTGCGAGTTACCTTTTGTTCAATACAAAAAGGTTCCTATAGAGTAAGCATGTGATACAGGGTGGTTAATCTGATGTAACAGAACAGGATTTTGAAAAATAATATTGATTTTTATTATACGAGTAGCTATCAGGGGCGGAGAATTCCTAATAAGTTAAAGTGCGTCTACTGGATCTGTGTCTATCAAAGGAATGCGGACAAAAAACATTTAAATAAACAGCAATATATTTTATAAATCCCTAGCTAAATAGAAGCGGCAGAGAGTCCACGTACTTGACGAGTATGTCACCGCAAAACAGTCCTCCCCCTCATTTCATTGACTACTTGCAAATCTGTCGAATTTTTATTGATGGGACGCGTCGTCTAATTTTTTTACAAGAAACATCGAGAGATAATCGTTTCCCCCCTTACGGATGCACCGTAGCTACAGAACGGATAGACGTACTATAAATTTGCAGTATCGCTACTTGCAAAAGGAATCGGGAGAAAGTAAAAAAGGTGTTATAAGATTTTTCACGCTTCCAAAAAATAACAGAAGTTAGAAAACAATGGATTCGACTTTACCAAAGAAAAGATAAACTTGATCCTCAAAACACACGAATATTTTTACAGCAAGCACCATTTCCAACTTAATGAAACGGGTATTTTTTAATATTATAATAATGTTGAAGATAATATCTCTAAAATTCAACATGTTTTAGCCAAATCCGGCGGCTTTCAATTTTTTTTAAATAAATATATTTTTTTTAATTTTAAAACTTGAATAACAACTCGGTTATTTTGAAATAACTCGGTTATTTTTTTGAACTTATTTGAAAAACGGTAAAGAGAAAGTATGTTTCTTTTATCGAGATCTACCAGCACTTGTATAAAGCGCATTTGTATTTTTTTATATGGAACCCCTACTTAGCTTTTAGCTCCATCTACGAACAAAAGTATTTAATATGTAGCCTATTTTCAATAATAATCCCAGTATTAATAATTAAACAAATATACATTTAATGATCCACATAAGTCGCTCTCTGTCCTCTTCATGACACTGCCCATCTATCTCTCATTGTTCGTTGCTCTTTTACGTTGTTAGCATACCCATGACGTAGCGGACAGCTTTTCTTCTATTGGTCAAAGTTACAAACAACCGTGTCTTAATATAGAACCTTTTTAATAACCGTGATGTTGGTTAAGATATCGTGTTGATGCCCAAGTGATATGTATGCGATACCTTATGTCCCGGATTTCAATATCACACTATGATCACATATAGATTCTATGATATTCAATATCACCAAATTTAATATTAAAGCAATATTTTGGACACATTTCTTTTGAGATCTTTAATGTATCTTTATGTGACATTTTATAGATGTTTTCGCAGAGAGAACACTAATAACTAAAGTGAGAGAGACCGATCAACGTTAATTTTTGAAGACTGTGTTAGTGGCGCGGCCTTTGGCGTCTAACTCAAACTATGAGCGCATTATCGATATAGTAGGTTGCATTCATACCTATATACTGGAGCCAAAAATTTAAAATTTGTATATTTGAACCGAATCTTAATCTTTCAAGTTTATAATAAGAAACCTTCGTAGTTTTTTTAGACTATTTTGTTGACAACGAAAATTTATTATTAGACTTTAAAGCATTAAAACCTATAAATAAAATACTGTGTAGGAACATAATAATTTATTTAACTCCATACTCCTTGCCATACTCCAACTCAAGGCTGCAATCTTCAGTATCTTTTTTATCTAACTTGATTGGGAGTGAGCAGGGAAGCACGGTTGGGAGCTCGCACAGAGTATCAGTAGGTATCCCGTAGGTATTCAATGTTTTTGATAGTCTTTATTCTATAACAAGAACCTAGCAGTTAAAGAAAATAATTTGTATTACTGGAAATAATACCAGGTATAATACCTAGTCGTTCCATAGGTATCAGAAAAGAATGTGATGTTTTAAATTAAAAAAAATAAATTAGCAATGTACGATTATTATGTGCACTCACTATTACTATTAGGTATGTTAAAATAATTACCGAGATAAAACTTACCTGTAAAGGAAACGTTTTGTCTGGGTCTCAACCACAAAACAAAAATTACAAAAATGCCGAATAATCGTGGAATCTGAAATAATCAATAATGACAATAATCTTCTCTTCTGACAAGCTAAAAGAACAGGCACTATTCAGTTAAAAACAATTTATTACTCCGTCTTGCTCCGTTTATCAACAGATTTTCGTTATCTCCTTCTAGAGCTAAGAAATAGAAAAAGCTACTGACAATCTAATTAATCCTGTCAAATGTTTAACTTGCAAAGTTGAAAACTTCCTTTTTTGACCGCCTAAACGCTATGCGCGGCTGGGATGCACGGTGACAAAATAAACTTGTCTATGAAATGTCCTATTCCACAAGCCCTCTCACTTTAGTTATTAGTTTCTCTCTGACATTTTCGAAACATATTGTTGCTATGTGTTACCACATTAAAATTATACCTGTAGGCAACATGATAATGGGTGGTATTAATAAAAACCAGTATATGCTTTTGTAGTAGGTACCTACTATTAGCACTAGCATTTATTTTTAAGTATCAGCAGATGCTAGAAGTAAATGCTGATATTTATATTAATAACTAAATGCTAATACTAATAAGTATGTGCTTAATCCTAGTCGGTATCTACTAAAATCGCAAAGTTATTTGGGTTCCATTTTTTAAAGAACTGATAAGAAAAAAATCATGTAGTTTATATCTAGTTTTCTATCAATACATGACAAGTAAACATTTCAAGAATTTTTAACAAACGAGCAAATAAACGTCTTTCTGCATCTGAAAATGTTGGACTCCGAGAGTAGTGACGATTCCAGTGTGCAAGAAAAACCAAATTCGGAATTAGAATTTGTTGCAAATTTTGTGAAAGAACACGTAATTATCCTTGATAAAGGAAAAACACCCTCAATCACCCAGAGGGAAAATTATGCATTGTAGTTGTTATAGGAAGAGTTTCAAAGTAAGTCATATTTTATTATAATAGCTATCATTTTCACTTAATCGTATTAAAATTAAAATATAAGTAAAGTCAATTGTGATAATTTAATATCCCTACCCCACGTGTCTTAGATTCAATAAGACTTTACTTTACAAATTTGACAGTGTTGGATACCGTAGGTTGACTTGTTGACTAATACCAATATCTTCAGCCACGCTTATCTGGAAACCTAATTCATCGCTTATATTATAATTTTAAACTTTTGATAAATATTGTAGAAACTCACCAGGATCGGAAATATGTCTTAAAAACGTCTTCATCTTTGTTCTGGGTCTAAAGCACCTCCTCGTCTTTCTTCACTTTCCCCCAGAAAATGATGTGCAATCCATTCTACATTTTCACTAGTAAATCGATATAATTGTATAAAGTCGCGTTTAGAAGGATTTTCGCGACGCGGTTTAAAAACTTTTTGCGCTCGGATCCGGAAAAACATTTTAAAGATTGCCAAAAACTAACTGCTACTTGATATGCTATCAAATAACCACTAAATTATAATAAAATTAAAAAAAAGTATGAGGAACCATAAACTTATAATTTTTCTAGGAGATACTTATTTGTAAAAGTATCTACTGGTTGTTATTAATACTTTTTAAGGATATCCTGATACTTTGAAGTAAACATTAGAAAATACTTATCCTTATCATCAAGTACTAGTAGCATTAGCATCTTCTTAAATTTAATTAATACAATTTAAAATATCTACTTCTTAAATTTGTAGTATAAGCATATGCGAGTCTTTATTAATACCACCCATTGTTACAGCAATTATAATATTGCCAACATATTACTTTAGTAATATTGAATAAATATGACTTTTTGAATTAATTTGAAATGTTCCTATCAAAAAATAAAATTTTTTAGAAGTTTAAAGAAAAAGCTTATCATTATTTCCTTTTAAAATCAACAAAGACATTTATTATTATAATAATATTTTGATAGGCATATTTTAAATTAATCAGAAGTCATATTTATTCAACTTTACTAAAATAATACTGTTGTAAAGTTGGTAATATTATAACCCATTGTTACAGCATATATAACAGCGATAACAATATCAGTGATGGGCATAACCGAACAATTTTGATAACCGGATTATTAGCATTTGAATAATACTAATAACCGAATGATTATTTGAATAATCATTCGAATAAATTCGGGCTCCCCTTTCAGTTTCATTTTTCGTTAGGTTTAGGTTGGCTTAGCCGGATTCCGGTTTGGCGATTCAGTTTCAGTATTCAGTTGTTAATCCGGTGGTTGTCGTACTTTTTCGATTTAACAACAAGTTAATTTAGTAAATTTAGTTAATTTAGTAAATATTTTAGGCAAAATTAGGTATTATTATTAATTCATATTAAATCTATTATAATATCATTATCAATATCAATAGCCTCTAAACAGTAATTACAAATAAATAATAAATAACAGTTGCCGTTGCCACTACCTACTCGTAAATTTTAAAATTCGTTTTTTATTCAAGTGATGGCATCGAAACTTCCTTCATAAATTGAATTTTAAACGTCTTTTATTCCTTACCTTACCCGATTAACCCGATGTTCTGTTCACCCGACACCCGACGGATCGACGACGAGCGACGACGAGACTTGTTCGTAGTTCGTACGGTTCAGCTTTCAGGTTATTTTTCATTCGAATACTTTGAAATGAAAACCGAATTACACAGGTTATTTTAATAACCGAATAACAGGTTATTTTTCATTCGAATAAGCCCATCACTAAACAATATCATATGTTGCACATGTAACAAATATACATAAGCAACAAATATGTTTTAAAAATATTTATACAAAATGTTCAAAAATTATCAAACAGAAACTTTCCAAATTTGGTATTTTTACTGTATGCCATTCCGAAACTTCATTTCAGAATCAGAAAATCAGCCAAAAACGATGTTTCGACATAACATACGGAAATCTAACTAAAAATATCAAATTTAGAAGTTTCAGAATATGCAGTGCTAAAATCATCAATTCCCACCAACGCGATACCCTAATTTTCAGTAATTTTTCATTTGTTCAAAAGAAAAACTCACTTGAATATTTTTCAACACTGTGAACATTTTAAAAAATAAGACAATAACAATTACGCAATATTCTATTTATATTTATATAACATTATTATTCATTAAGATAATACAATATGATCGAAAAAAACGGCGTCAGTGGTGGCTATGAAATGAAGCTCGTTGTCATTTTATTTATATATAGAATTATATGGAGAATGTCATAAAAATTCCAAGCCATCTGGACATTTTTTTTCGATCATACGGTAGGTATAACATATAATGATTAATATCTAATACATACTTCGAAAATTAACCACAATCACCTTATTTTTTCTTGACTTTGTCTTTGTTTTGAATATCGGGGCCATTCGGATACTTACTGCTAATTCGAACTCTATCTGTTACTGATAGATTTTTTTCCTTGCCGCTTTTAAAAAAAGAATATTTTCTAATTTCAATGTACTGGATGGTACAACTAAGGGCGCGTTTTCATTTGTCGGCATTTGCCGATCAAATTTGTCTCTCTGTCTGTCAACCGGTCATTTATATTATTCTCTGTCACAGTCATTAAAATCCAGACCACATAAATTGGATGACCAGCAGGGTATTTTGTCATTATATAACCAGGCTGTAATTTAAATTTTTGGAGATAAAAATATCATTACAAAATTAAATTGTAGAATTTTTAGTCAATTTTTTTGCATATTAACAATGTCAAGGGCTGTTTAAATGTCAATAATTATTGGAATAATCTTTTTTAAATGGAATACCCTGTATATTAGCAATTTTTTTCACAATTTCAAAAATATATCACAAGTTCCCTTTGTTTTTAACAGTTTTATTGAAATTGGACATAATATACACCAATGTTCAAATATTTATTGGTTTTCAAGTTAGCCATGGTTAGTTTTACAGATAAAACATTTATAAAACTATTAGAACATGTGTGAACATACATGTGATGTGTGAAAACATGTGTGATACATTTTTAAAATCAAAGAATATGTCATGTAATATACTTCTCATATATAAATAAATAAATAATAGTTTGTTATTTAAATAAACATTCTATCTTTAAAAACGGAATAATGTCTTAAATAAGTTAATGTCTTAAAATAATTTTAAGAGATTAACTTATCTATTTTTTGTTACTATGTATAACTACATCAAATGAAAACCTAGTGTTTTCCCAGGTATTTTTATAAATGAAAAATATACAACAAATAAATACGACCTTATGTAAGAAAATATCACAATAAAATCTATTCTTAAATGATGATGAAAACAAAAAAAAAATTAAAAAAAGAACGACTTTAGTAATGATCATTCAATATAAATATTATAAAAATAACTCTTAAATATTAAATAAAAAGGTTCCATTAATCTCATCCAGTTGTCCACACAAAAGGTTCTAGCCTATCTTCAATATCTAGGTAATTGTTCAAAGTTTCCATACTTTCCAAAGTCTGATTCAGTACCATATGGCACCTATTCAACTGATGAGACAGTTCTTGAACTTTAGATAATTTGTCTGCATATTTTGCAAATTTCTTTTGCCTTTCTGTGGCAGAAGTAACCAGTTTTGTTATATCAGCATCAACCTGAAAAATTGGAAATTAATGTTTTTCTTGAGACTAACATAAAAGTTGACAAATACTTCTCTAATTTTCTGTGTTAATTGATTCTGATCTGTAGCAACTAAATTAGCAGCTGAAGTCAAGTGATGTTGGTACTGCAGACAAAGGTTTCTAAAAGGAGTAGGATCCAAACGTTCTAAAACTTCTGGGTCCCTTGCAGCTGGCAAACTAGTAAGATAATAAAGTAAAATCATATAAATAGAAACAAATCTACTAACAATTATACCTTAAAGTTGCTCTCATAATAGGTAAAAACATTGGTATACACTGTAATCGTAGTACATCTGGATCTTTCTCTATACTGTTGGTATTACTTTCAGCTCCTCTGACTATAACGATATTGTGAGCATTTTTACTTTTTATTGGTTTGGAGGATTGAGGTCTTTTAGGTACGGACTTGCTCTTTAGCAGTTGCTTATTAGCTAATTTTGGGGAATCTAAAATTTGAAATGTATTAATTCAAGTGTTATTATATACGTTATGGCTAAAATGGATACTTGGCTAGTTTTCAAACTAGCCAGCTATTTTGCAAATAGCGCTGTTATTTTGTTGGTTAGGTGTTAGTTTGCGGTGGTGGTTGTATTGGTTGTTTGCAAAATAGCGGGCTAGTTTGAAAACTAGCCAATTATCCATTTTATCCGTAACATATACAATAATTGGCACCTTCACTTACCACCAATAGGTCTATTGACAGTGTAACTAATATATGGTAAATCTGTATCACTACAAACACTAGGCCCTGGAGAGATACACCTCCCATTATCAGCTCCATCGGTAGGTTGATCAGAGCTGATATTTGTACCAGGATTGGCTATGGTATGTTGCCTCCTAAGGTTTGATTTAACCTGATCTCTTTTTCGAAGCTCTTCTCGAGACAATTGACTAGAGTGTTCTGAACCCATTGTAATATTTTAAAATTAGTGTATTATTTATAACGCATTTATAAAGAAAAGGTACAAATCCGTACAAATGTAATATGTGTTTATGGTGTTTACATCACAGTTTACATTAGCCACAGACATTAGCTGACTGTCAGTGATTGTGGTCATTGTGGTCGCCAGGCAGAGTAGACGAGTAGACTTTATGGAGTAGTACACTCCATATGGAGTAGACAGGAGTAGACTAGTGGGCAGGGTTCGGAAGTAGTTAATTATGACGTAATTTACCTGATTAACTACGTGTAGTTTTTCTTCAAAAACTAAGTCTTTTCCCGTTCATTAACTACATGAAAACTACGTTAATAAACTATGTATTGATAATATATGAATAGTCTTCCTGGTGTTGTATGAGGTGTAATAGAGATAATATGATGTAAATATTATATTTAAAGCCATATTTCTTCTGTTTTCTTAAATACATTATGTGTTTTTAAAGCTTCAACTTATTATAACCTCACCTCAAACCAGGGTTCGGAAGTAGTTAATTAAGACGTAATTTACCTGATTAACTACGTGTAGTTTTTCTTCAAAAACTACGTCTTTTCCCGTTCAATTAACTACATGAAAACTACGTTAATAAACTATGTATTGATATTATGAATAATTTTCCTTTATATGAGGTGTAATAGAGATAATATGATGTAAATATTATATTTAAAGCCATATTTCTTCTTTTTTCTTAAATACATTATGTGTTTTAAAAGCTTCAACCAGGCTTCAACTTATTATAACCTCACCTCAAACCTTTGATATTTGAAAGTTACATACATAGGCAGGGTTCGGAAGTAGTTAATTAAGATGTAATTTACCTGATTAACTACGTGTAGTTTTTCTTCAAAAACTACGGCTTTTCCCGTTCATTAACTACATGAAAACTACATTAATAAACTCTGTATTGATATTCTGAATAATTTTCCTTTGTATGAGGTGAAATAGAGATAATATGATGTAAATATTATATTTAAGCCATATTTCTTCTGTTTTCTTAAATACATTGTGTATGTGTTTTTAAAGCTTCAACTTATTATAACCTCACCTCAAACCTTTGATATTTGAAAGTTACATACATAGGTTACATAAACTACATCCTCTACATAAACTACATTAACTACATGTAATGTAGTTTATGTAGTTTTTAAAAGTAACATGTAGTTTTCCGCACCCTGCACTAGTGGGACGCATGTGGGACGTAGACGCTAGTCGACAGTAATCTATGGCAGGAATCTATGGTCGACAGCACCAGCTGTTTTTGAAGTTTGAATAGTTTGGTTCTGGTTCTGTGTTTGGTTCATAGGTTTGGTTTGGAATTTGGAATAAATACTAATAAATATAACGTGAATACAGACGCTTATCGTCAGTTATCGTTTATTTTTGTGCAAATATGCCTGACTGTAGTGAATATTACCAAACAGAAATTAGTGAAGGAAGAAACAAACGTGTGATAAAATGTAAATTTTGTTCTTCAGTTATTTTAACACCTTCTAGTGCTTCATTTACAAGATTAGAGGTTAGAAAATATATATGTCTTAATTTGATTATTTTTCATGTAACAATGTATGAACCTGTTATTATTATAGTAGGTAAATGGTAATATTTGATAGTATATAATATTATTCAGGGTGTTTCAAAACAAATGTAAAAAATTTAAAATGGTGATTCCCAAGGTTATTATTTAACAAGTTTCTTGAAAAAAAGCTTGGGTACCTATATCGCCACTGAAAGAGAAGTTATGCTTTTCGATGGCGAGGGGCGATATACCTATACTTTCTTCAAGAAATGAACCCACTAAATTCAAATTCAAATACAAAGGTATAGACATTATTTAACAAGTTGCGTCGTAATTGGACATTAGCCCCTATATTATGCTTCATATCGTGGTACTCATTAGAGCGTCCGCACACGGGTCGTCTGGCTTTCGAAGCCGTCTCGAACTCCGAGCGAATCTCTCTCCACTCTATCTTCGTACATAAATAACGATCAATCATTTCAAGTTCGCGTCGACCGCCAAACGACCCGTTCGTGGACCTACTATTACTATTATTTACGTAGGAAGTAGAGTGAAGGGAGATTCGTTCCAAGTTCGAAAATGTTAAACAGCCTCTATACTATGCCGAGAACTCTTCGAAACAGGCCAAAGTTGCATTTCGTAGTCCAACTTTGTCGCATTTCAATTTATTTCCAGTTGTCTTGACCCACTTCGGTTTGCCTCGATCTACTTTTGCGCCTGAAAACTTAACGTCTTAAGCGCCTGGAAACTAGTCGGGAAAAGTTGCCTCGTTCAATTTTGTCTCGTTTTGAACTATTTCCAAAATGTGGCGGTATCTGTACCCGAAGCAAAGGACATTTTTTTTTTCATAAGTCTCAGTGAAAACCTAGACGTTTCTAAAATAGTTGTTGTTACAATCATATTTCGTTAATTACATATCGTTTTATGTTGATACATATTCCACAAAATTAATATTTGAACACGCGTTTATAATATGTAGAGTAGATATTTAAGAATAAAACTTTTCACTCAATCTGCAGGAATATAATTACAATATATTTATTATTTAATTTTATTATAATGGGAATTAGTATATAAAATTGTACATGTTATGTTTGTTTACGCGGTCTTAATTAATTAATATAACAGTATTATATCGCTTGATGAGTAATACTGGCAACATCAACGATGTATCGAACTGATTGGGAAAATTATTGATTGACCTGATGTCAATAAGTGATACTTTTACTTATAATAATAACATGGTTTCATATAAATTCATTTAAAAATAAGAAATATATTAACGATTTTTTAAAAAGTTTAACACCATGGTTTAACCACGGCATATAAATCAATCGGCAGGCCAACTCGCTTTAGCGGGAACGCTACGCGCATACCCTCGTGCACGCCGCCATTTGCGTTTCCATCAACAGAAAGTAACCAGTGTCCAATAAATTTAAACGTATTTGCCAGTGTCATAGTTTTTTCAGCGACAACACACAGTTACGGCGTTACGGCAGATTCGAGTCAGTAGCGTGCGGCTGAATTTATTTTGATTTTTTCTTGAGTGATATATTTTGTTTTTGTTGTTTTATTTTTCTTTATTATGTGATATATTTGGTTTTTCTAGTTTTATTTTCGTTTCTTATGTAATATAATTTGTTTTAGTAGTGTTATTTTTGTTGTTCAATAAAAGTTTCTTTCTGTTTCATAGAGATCCTATTAGGTATGTATATATGTGATTAATTATTTTAACATATTTTAGCTGTGAAAAAAAAACATAGTAGTATACATATTAGGACATTCAGCTAAATAGGAAGATCTAATTTAAAATCTTAACAAACTTTAATATTAGTAAGATTTAATGTTAAATATTTAGTAAAATTTAATGTTGTATCTAGACATTAAAAATTAAATTTAAAAATCATTATATTATTAATTTAAATATAATTATAAAAGTAAATAAAATGAGTATATCGAAAATAAGTTAACAATACATTTTTAGGGCAAGGACATGGGCAATTGCAGCTAATAGAGAAGACTTGATTGAAGATATAAATAAGGCCCACAAAAGGTACAGGTTGTGTTCGGTTCATTTTGAATTTAAAATGTTTACCAATTCACTTTGTAACCATATAAAATACAATGCGGTACCTACTTTGTTTCCTGCCATGAAAAAAATAGAAGTTTCTCAAAAAAAATTGTGGATTTGTTAATTTGTGAAATTTGAACATTAATAAAATTGCTGTTGTCGTCCGGCGACGTAGGTTTCATTCCTAGAAACCCGACAGCGGTCGGTGGCAATGCTATGAAAGAAGCCGGCATCTTTGATTTTTTGCGGAGTCAAATAAAGGACACATTTTTTTTATTGAGGTGCTAGTATTTACACAGAAAAAACATTATGAAGGGCGCTGTTGCCATATATTCGTATTAGTTGGTATTAGCAAAGAATATTATTCTTTAGCATTAGTTAGTTAGGGATAGTATGTCTATATGTTTTGCATTTTTTTTATTAATATTCTGTTGTTACACTGCAATAATACTTTTTATTTTGGATGTAGGAAAATGATTTTTAATGTTTTTAAGCAAATACTGGTTTAATAAATAATAATAACAGTAATAATTTGTTATACCTATTAACAACAAAATTTAAAATCTTTTAATAATATCAACTTTTTTTTAAGTAGTAGCAAAATATAAACAACAAATAGAAGTCAAAAGTATTTATATTAGATCCTATTTAAAAATAATATATTCTCTAAATGGCAACGTTGGTTTATTATATAATAATAATAATAATAATTACAGAACTAATTTGTTATATTAACAACAAATTTTAAAATTATGAAATATAAACATTTATTAATTTTCTAAGCATGCAGTGTAATGGAAGGAAATTATAAATTAAAAATTAAAAATTAAAATTATTTATATTACTTTTTATTGCTTTAAAAATAATATTTACTTTTACTGGCATTTACTTTAAAAAATAAATGAAATATTTCTTCGCAAAAAACTACATGTAAGAGAATTAGCATAAACAAAATACAAACATTGTTAACTTTTTTTTTAAATTGGCACGTGTAAAACTTTCAGTTTAATTTTCTCACCCCAAAATTTGAGTTCGATAACCATTTACTTAACCACATTACTTAAATATGATTATTAAGTTCAACTAATTCATATTATTAAAACATCTAAAATACAAATATGTATTTTTAAAATTAATTGTAAGTTCATCTCATCTCTCTTAAAAATTGCGACCTCTCAAAATTTCCCATTAAAAAAATGCAATCTAACCTAACCATAATATACCATATAAAATTAAATAATTGAAAGATCGGACTACGGAAAATCACACAAATTTTCAGAAAAATTTTGACCACTTCGCACACAATCGTCAATTAAAAAGCTACTATTTTAGTATTTTAAATATTTTAATAAACGCAAAAATAGCATAGTATTTACAAGGCGAAGTTATAAAAATTTGGTAGAACTAATAATGCACTGACGCACACAAAAATAAAACGAATACTAAATTTCATTTATCAAAAGAATTCGATAGTCGTGGCTCGTGGCGCAACGATAACCATTTAGTCGCACGGCGAGGTTGTCACATATGCTTTAGTATACAAATGAATGAATGATTTTATTCGAATAAAACCATTCGATAGTTGAAATAATTCATTCAGTAACCATTCGATAGTCTAATTCATTTGATAGTTCCCATGGCTAATAATTTGTATGTAGCCTCTTTATATTGTTCAATAATTATTTTATTGGTATTTCTTTAATTCTTGTTTGTAACTCCTGGCATGTTTTTGTTAGTTGCATGTTTTTTTAATTTTAATTGTCTATTCTCTACAGTGAAATATTTAATTGATTTTTTCATTATTTTTACTTTTCAAGGAGTATGCGCGGTTAAGGATTCATTTGTTTGGACAAAAGTATTGTGTAAATAAAATTCAGTTTCACTCAATTACAGTATTTTTTTAATACGACCCTGTCTATCAATAGTTATAGAAATTTTTTTGATACGTTTTAATCCGGCCCTGACTTGGAAACGATAATGGCGCCGTCAAGGTCAAATTTTATAGAAATTTTAAACAATGGAATCTGAGCAGAGTTGTCGTGCCGATTGTTTTATGTGCCGTGGTTTAACACCGTGGATTATAACCTATAAAAGGCGGACCGCCAGCCGCCAGGACAGTTAGTCACTGCGTATTGCCCAGCAGTTTTACTATTTTAAATTTTGGAAATATATTTTTTTTACTATATTGTAATTAATAATGTTAGTCAATGATTAAAACTAAATATTCTTGTATAACATTAGAAGAAACACATATTATTAAATTTATCCCACTTTGGATTCCAGGCGAAAAAAGATATAAATGATGCTATTTTTGCTTTTCTTGAAGATATTTACTTGACCATTAATGACAAAGAAATGGCCGCGGCGGTGTTTTGTGGCTTAGCTAAGGCGTTTAATTGCGTGGACCATAGCATCCTGTTGCGCAAGTTGAAAATATATGGATTCAGGGGTTCAAGTTTTAAGTGGTTTAAATCATATCTGTCCAATAGATAGCAGTCCGTTTCAGTTGGAGCCAGCTCATCCAGGAGACAGGTCTTAAGTTGTGGCGTTCCACAGGGATCAGTATTGGGTCCCATTTTATTTCTTATATATGTCTCACCCACTTAGTATAATTTCCGTTTCACGAAATGGATATCCACTTCGCTAATTGAAACCAACCAGTTCGCGAACCTAACCTAAATAAATAAATAAATAAATGCCTTTATTGTCAAATTTATTTTACAATTTGTAGACAAAGGGCTCTAACTCACTGACGACCAGGTCGCAACGACCTGTCCGTCGGCTGGCCGGATGTATTGCGTTTATAGCTGCAGCCAGATGAAAGACCAGTTTCAACAGAGTTGTCAGATCTAACGATTTTTTACGTTTTACCAATTAGAAAATATTGTTTCAGAAAGAATTAAGTTTCAGAAATGTTAAAATATTCGAGTTAACTAAAAAGCGAAGTTGCTATTCATGAGCTTATTAAATAATATGTTCTAATATTAAATAATGCATT